ATGAGGCTCTGGACAAAATCAAATCAGAAATAATTTCTCAAATAACTACAGAAATGGTGTGTACAATGAAGACTATGCTTAGTGGTGCTAACGCAGATACAAACAACAAAATAGACAAGTTTAACAAAATTATGGAAGCCATAAATGCTCAGCATAGAAAAGAAATGAAATCCGTAAGGCAGATTCATTGACAGTATTCACAGCAGATTAAGCCAATGTGAGTATAGGATATCAGATATAGAAGACAGGTTTGCAGCTAGCAATGATGAAAAGGAAGATTTCTTAAAAAAAATAGCAAGGGACTATGAGAAATCAATCCAGCAGCTGCTGGATGACACAAAAAAGAATAACTTAAAATTGACTGGAGTCGATGAAAAAAGCAGGAAATAGTAAAAAACAATATATTTTTTAAAAAACTGTTTACAGACATCATGGCAAAATCTTTTCTGATAGAGAAAAAGAATTTGCAATAAGATAAGTGAGGCATCGAGAACCCCAATTAACCATGACCAGGCATATCATAGTCAAAGATTCCAGAAGTGGCTGGGGATTTAGCTCAGAGGTATAAGTGCCTGCCTGGCAAGTGCAAGGTCATGCATTCAATCCCCAGTACAAAAAAAAAAAAAAAATTCCAGAAGTTCAACACCAAAATAGAATCTTAAAAGCTGCTAGGAAATAGAAACAAATCACCTATAAAGGAAAGTCCATCAGAATTGCAGCTGACTCTTCAGCACAAACCATCAAGTCAAGGACAGCTTGGTGTGAAGGATTCAAGTTCAAAAGGAAAACAACCTTCAACCCAGATTGATGTACCTTTCAAAACTATCTTTCAAAATGGGTGGAGAAATAAGATACTTCCAGGACAAAGAACATCTGAGGAAATTTATGACCACAAAACCAGCACTCCAAATGTTTTAAAGGATATTCTAATAGGAGATAACAAGGACTACAGCTCCAGGAATGCTAACAAAAAGGAATCCACTGGGTGAGACAAACAAATAAACAAAGGGAGGGGATAAAAAGAGGGCATTCAACAGAAACATAACATGACAAGGATATAAGTCAATACATATGTTATAACCATCAATGATAATGGGCTTAGTTGAAAGACACAGCTTGGCAGAATGTATCAAGAAGCAAGATACAACCATATGCTGCATACAAGAAACACATTTAATTCAAAAAGAAATTCATGAACTGGAAGTCAAAGAATAGAAAACAATATTCCATGCAACAGGAATCCAGAAAAAAGCAGAGGTAGCTATTCAATTTGCAGACAAAGTGAATTTCAAGCCAAGATTGATTAGAGAGATAAAGAAGGTCATTACATCCTTGTAAGGGGTAAAATCCAAGAGGAACAGATAACAATCATAAATATATAAGCAACGAATACCAGTGCACCCAACTATATAAAACAAATATTAATATGCATGTAAAACAAATAAGCACTAATACAATTATACTGTGGGAATCTCAATACCCCACTGTCACAAAAAGACACATCAACTCAACAAAAAAATCAACAATGAAATATTAAAACTGAACCAAACTTTTGAACAAATGGACTTAGTAGATGTCTACAGAGTGTACCCCATAATATCAGAATACACATTCTTCTCAGCTGCCCATAGAACACTCTCCAAAATAGACCATGTACTGCCTTAAGAAACTCATAGCCAAAAAAAAGAAACTCATAGCCAATCTTATCTAAAAAAATGAAAGAAAAGACTCAAATCCATGCAATTAAGAATGAAAAGGATGAAATTACAATGAACCTTGAAGAAATCCAGAAAATCATCTATTGTACTTTAAAAACTTGTATTATGATAGAAAATGCAGACAAAATGGACATCTGAATTAACAAAGCTTAATCAAAAGAATATAAAAATAATAAATATATATCAATCAATGAAATTGAAGATGTAATTAAAAGCCTATGAACAAAGAGATGCCCAGGCCCTGACAGATTCACTGCTGAATTCCACAAGAAATTTAGAAAAGACCTAACACTACTACTTCTCAAACTCTTTAATGAAATTGAAAGGGAAGCAATGCTCCCAAATTCATTCCTGAAATTAAGCATTACCCTAATACCAAAACCAGAGAAAGATCCAACTAAGCAAGAGAATTACAGGCCAATCTCACTAGTGAACATAGAAGCAAAATTTCTCAGTAAGACACTGGCAAACAGAATGCAGCAAATCATCAAGAAGGTTATACACCCTGACCAAGTAGGATTCATCTCAGGGATGCAGATATGATTCAACATATGTAAATCCATAAATGTAATACACCATATTAACAGAGCCAAGGACAAAAATCATATGATCATCTCAACAGATGCAGAAAAAACTTTTGACAAGGTCTGGCACCTATTCATGATAAAAATCCCTACAGAAAACTAGAATTGATAGTCCTTATCTCAATCTGATAAAAGCTATCTATGAGAAATCAACAGTCAATACCATATTAAATGTATAAAAAAACTGAAAGCTTTCTCTCTAAAATCAGGAACAAGACAAGGATGTCCACTGTTATATTTCTTATTCAATGTAGTCCTGGAAACTTTAACCAGAGCAATTAGGCAAAAGAAAGAAAGAATAATGATAAGAAAGGAAGGAGTTAAATTATCATTATTTGCAAATGACATGATAATCTGCATAGAAGACCCCAAAACTCCACCAAAAAAATTGCTAGATTTAAAATAATTATTAGTATAGCTGGATACAAAATCAATACTAAAAAATCAATAGTCTTCTTGTACACAACAAGTTCATTGTGAAAGAAATTAGGGAAGTAACACCTTTCTCAGTAACATCCCCCGCAAAATGAACTACCTAGAAATCAATCTAATGAAGGATGTAAAAGACCTCTATGTTGAAAACTACAGTGCTCTGAAAAAGGAGAATGAAGAAGATAGCTGAAAATGGAAAGCCATCTCTTGTTCTTGAGTAGGAAGAACCAATGTAGTGAAAATGACCATACTTCCAAACGGTTCTACAGATTTAATAAAATTCCAGTGAAAATCCCAAAAGCCTCTCTCACAGAATCAGAGAAAACATCTGGGAGTAGAAGAGACTTAAAAGAGCAAAGGCAATTCTGGGCAACAAAGGCAAGACAGAGGGATCACAATCCCTGACTTGAAATTACACTATAAAGCTACTGTCATAAAACAGCACGGTACTGGGAACACACACACACACACACACACACACCAGACCCAAAGATCAGTGGAACAGATTAGAAAATGCAGAAACAACTTCAAGCATACTAAGCGACCTTATCTCTGACAAAGGTGCCAAACACATTCATTGGAGGCAAGATAGCCTATTTACTAAATGGCGCTAGAAAAACTGCCCCTGCACATGCCAAAGATGAAGATTGGCTCCATATCTTTCACCATGCATTGAGATAAATTTGAAATGAATCAAGGAGCTAAATATTAAAACAGAAACATTAAATCTCTGGAAGATAGAATAGGGTAAACCCTTGAAGACATTGGTGTAGGCGAAGACTTTTTGAACAAATTCCTGAATTTCACAGGAACTATCACAAAGAATCAGCAACTGGGATCTCACTTCTATTGAAAAGATTTTGCATAGCAAGACAAACCATCAAGACAGTCAAGAGACAAACCACAATGTGGGAAAAAATGTTTGCCAGCTGTTCCTCAGACAAAGATTAATTATTTTTTTTTTGGTACTGGGGATCAAACTCACAACCTCGTGCTCACCAGGCAAGCACTTGGGCTGAGCTAAATCCTGGGCCCTTGAGAACATATAAAGAACTTAAAAAAAAAATCAGACCTCCCAAATTTAAAGACTCAGGCCCAAAATGGGCATCTGAGGTGAATAGATACTTCTCAGATGAAGAAATACAAACAGTGAATAAATATATGAAAAAATGTTCAACATCACTGATCATTTGAGAAATGTAAATTAAGACAATACTGAGATTTTACTTCCTACTAGGAAGAATGGCTATATCAAGAAATCAACCGATAACAAATGCTGGAGGTGATATGGGGAAAAAGGAACCCTTTTCTACTGTTGGTGGGAGTGTACGACCATTGTAGAAATCAGTGTGGAGATTCCTCAGAAAACTAGGGTTGGAGGTCCCATTTGACCCAGCTATTCCCCTTCTGGGTATCTTCTCAGAAGAATTAAAAACACCACAGTGATATTCATGCACCCATGTTTATGGCAGCATAATTTGTAATAGCTAGACCTTGGAAACAACACAGATGCCCATCAACTGAGGAATGGATAAAAAAGATGTGGTCTTTTTGTACAACAGAGTACTACTCAGCCATAAAGGAAGATAAACTGGTAAATGGATACAACTTGAGATCATACTCATAAGTGAAATAAACCAGATACACATGTGTACACATTGTATTGTCTCCCTAGTGTGAAATGCTGAAAGAGTAAATAAGATCCAAAATACACAACAGATATTGTAAAATGGGAAGAGGTTTCAAAAGGAAAGAGAAACTAGGATGGGGGAATGGAGAAAAGCAGGAAAGGAAAAGTAAAAAAAAGTAAATATGAATATAGCTATATAAAATATATTTATACTGCTAATTTCTCTCAGTTCATCGAAATGAAAGGTTGTGTGATATTGTTTGGACAATTAAATGCTGATATCTTTTAATCTGAGTCACTAAAGATAACAATAAGCAATGTATTAACTGTTGCTACCCTCCTATTATCTTGTTTTGAAATTTTGCTTGGTTTTTTTCTCCTTAAAATTAATCTTTATTTATTTTTTATTATTATTATTTTTTGTCTTTTTCCTTTTTATCGGTATCAGGGATTGAACTCACGACTGCCTGTTTGCAAGGCAGGCGCTTACGCCGCTGAGCTAAATCCCCAGCCCCTAGCCTCAGAAGGCAGCTTCGAAGGGACTAAAAAAAGTCTGAGCCCACACCAGCCACACCGCAGGCACAGCTGTGGTCTTAGGCCATCCCCCAGCCCCGCGGCCAGTCCTGCCGACATTACCTGTTTACTGGAAGACATGTTGGTGAGTGTACTGATGCTGCTGGTGTCTGTGACCACCATTGCAGAAGGAAACCGGGAGGTGTGCGAATACTGGGGGGGTTCCTGCTTGTGTGTGTACACTGGAGAGGAAGAGGGAAGACAAAATCAAGGTACACATACAACAGCTACAGCTCCCCCATCCCACACCACAGCTCCCCTGTCCTGTGTAGATAAAAGAGGGTAGGGGATAAAATCCTAGCTCCTTACTCAAGTTACTTAATCTCAGTTTGTCTGAAAAATAGGGTGATATCCATTGTGGTGTTGGGAAATACCATGTTTAAACTGCATTTTACCAAGTGCATCATGTTTTTTTTTTTTTTACATGAGTCTAGTTTGAGAAGTGCATCATGTTTAAATACCTTTACCAAGCTTTGCACAGTTCCCAATACATACTTTATTGTATATATATAGAATATTTGGGAACATTTCTGTGGCCTGATTGTCAATAAAATATTAGGTACCTGGGCATCAACAAATGTCCCTTAGGCATAGGCAGTGAACCTGAGATTGAAGGAAGCAAATACTCTAAGCGGTTGGCCAGCATCAAGTATCTGGGCCAACCTCAGGCTTACTGCTTCTACCATGACTCAAACACTGGAGCTCCTGCCAGAGTTGTAGACTGATTAACAGCTATAATTAGACATTTGTGTAATTGATTGGATAATTCTGGGCTATTCCAGTTTGCACTGGGATGATGTCATAGCTTTGGAACATGGAAATATGAAGGATAAACAAAAGGAAACTAGATCTAAATAAAACCTCTAAGAGCATGTAACTTGAATTGTAGTTGCTTAGTACTTGTCTGTGACATTTGGCACTTTTAACTCTTAATAGCTATCCAGAAAAATCATACAAGTTCTGTCATGTAGCCAAGCAATGAAAGCAGTAGGCTGCATGGCCATGAGGGACCAGCCTGTTTTTAGAACAGAGTCTATCAAGGATCTGTTGGTAAGGAATGGGGCTAACAGTCAGTGGCTAGTGTCCCAGCTTGCTCTTCTTGAGTAGCGATGCTGACTGTTTTGTAGTCCAGGGACCCACGGGCTCTCTACAGCTAGGCTACAGGTTGCTGGCAACCACTCTCTGACTATCCCATATAGGCCTGGCCTCTGAGAGAACCTGCCCAAGTGAGGGAGAAGAACATATGCCAACCTCTGGGAAGAAGCGGAATGAGGGACCTGTGGGCCCAGACTCTGCTACAGGCTGTGACAGAGTTTCAGAAGCCACTAATATGTGATTGGAATGTGAGATGGTACTCAGAAACCAGCTCTGCAAGCTCAAATGAGGACTGAGCCCAACCAAAGGAGAGAAGGCTGAACTTGGTCATTCTCCTTCACACCTGAAACCATGTCAGAAGCAGCCCGGGGGAGAAACTCAAATTCTCTTTGCCATCTTTCTCAAAGTCCATTAATACATAACCACTTGTATTACTGTAACTGTTTATGCTTATAAAATGCAGTTCACTGCTCTTTTTATTTCATTTTCATAATGACCCTAGAAGCATATTAAGAAACTAAGACTCAGAGTAACTTAAGTAACTTGTCAATGGCTATCTAGCTGGAAAATCAGGATTGAATTTCAATTCTGTCTAGGACCATACGGAACACTTTTCTGGCATTCCTGAAGCAGGAATGCCATCCATCCTTCAAATGGTTCCTCCCTGAACTTGCTTTCTCCCCAGACATCTAGGCCAAGGGCTGTGGCCTAGATGACACAGATAGATGACAGAGAGGAGTAGACTTAGGAAAGGTGTAGAAACTGGATCCAGGGGAATTTCTACAGGGGGAAGAAACTCTGATATTCCTCACCCAGGATGGTGTGCAGGTGGTATTTTCTAGCTCTCTTCATGGTTTTCAACTAGAGATGTCTGGCATGTGTAAACTGGGAGAATGGGAACTCTAGAAGATTTTTCTATTTCAGGGAGGCAAACAGAATACAAATTATAGGTCAAAGCTGGTCATTTGGAAATGGCTTTTTGGAATTTTGGATTGAAAAGGTTGAGTTGAGAGATCGGAGATATATCTCGGAGGTAGAGCATTTGCCTACTATAAGTAAAACCCTCAGTTCAATGCGCAGTACCTTCCTAAAAGAAAGAAAAGGCTACATCTAGGCTTGCTGAGAAGTTCTTGGGATGCATTGATGACATCTTTCCCTGTGGTGGAATGGGAGATGTGGCATGTGTCCTACATTCTGTCTCTAACTTCCTTTTATGTGTAAGGCCGCAGATGCCCCCCTGTAGACCACCCTCTGGGAATCCTGGGGGTAGAAATATCAACACGCAGAAAGTGTGCTTCGGAAATTGTCTTGGTTGATTAGAGGCAGGGAAAATGATCAGACCCATGGCCTTCCAAGATAGTTCCAATCCAAAGAGGGAAGTGACCGGGGTGTTGCCTCCCGCCGCATCCTTACTGTGTGAGTTCTGCAGCTGAGTCACAGCAGCCATGAAGGGCTGCTGGGCCATGTGGCTGCCTGGGCTCTGCTGCATGAGGGGCTGCTGGTGAGGGCTGTGCAGCTGCTGGGAGAACTGGACGGGCTGCAGGGCTGCCAGGCTGCCAGCCACGCTGTTGATGACTGGGACGCTCTGTGCTTGGGAAGTGTTGAGGCCTGTGGGAGCAAGAGAGGAAGATCAGGGATGGCTTCAGTGACAGGGAGGGTGAGTGGATGGCATCTCTGAGTGACATGAAAAGTGACTGTACAGACCAGGAAACTTGAGATTTGGAGAGATTCATTTATTTGCTCCACTTCCATGGTGTGTTGTGGGATGGAGACAGGCTTTAAATCAGTCTGACTGAAGCCTGAACATCTCCAAAGGTTATCCTGTGACTTTCCAAACTTAGCCCCTTGAAGTTACCAGGGACTTGGGGAAATTGACTCTGCTTTTCTTTCCATGTACACCAGACTGGAAAAGGCTTGCCTCTGTGGCCAGGGCAGTTACAGGTGTCCGCTGATGTGCAGATCTGGCTTTCCAGTAGAGGGCAGCAGTGTGCAAGGACCCACATCTTGATTCAAAACAAAACACCTTCCATAGTCCTGCAAGTATGGAGCCTGAAGCCCTGAATTTAGTAGACTGTGCAAAGACCCTGAGAGAGGTCAGGGTCTTGATTATAGCAGAGGGGAAGAAAACACAGGAACTCAGTCACTTTATGAAGTGGACATGTCTGCTAGGGCTGGCTACATAGGGCTGAGGGTATCAAAAGCACCAGGTTTGGGAAGGAGGAAGGAGGAAGTTATAGGTCAGCCCTTGACAGTGACAGTGCATCTTGCCATCTTTCTGTTCCAGGCTGTGAGAATCTCTGTGGTTTGGTACTATGTCTATATCCTGAGGCCTCTTTAGAACCTGGGCCAGCACTCCAAGGATTGGATCCCATGGTACTCATGCTTTAGCTGTTCCCGGATGGGCCTCAGGGGAAACACAGCGGAGGCAGGGTCAGAGTGAGGACAAGAGAATCAGAACTCTTTTCTGGAAGAGCCAATTTCCTTAGTTCTTGTTTTCTGGGATGGAGAAGGAAATCCATAAAAATTATTTCAGGTAGGAATGGAAGGGACAGCTGGAGAGCCTTTCCTGAAAGGGACAGGATTTCATGAGCAGGACAGGGGGGTGGTATGGTGTGGTCTTAATGGAGATAACACAAAGTCCTCAACAATTGCTACTCAGAGCTTTGGTTGATACTCTTATCAGAAACCTAAAAGGCAAGACCTCAGAGGAGAAAAGAAAAGGAGAAAATCCTCCTTCTGGCTCCCCTGGGTGAGGGCTGGGAGTAGGATCTTTTGATCACCCTCAGAATAAACACTACTTCCACTTCCCCCAAGAGGCTCAGCTTCTCCCCAGCCAGCATTCACCTGATATCTGATATCCTCTTTCCCTTTTCTACCTCCTACTTATGGTCTTGGTCTCCTAGGAAGCCCCATAGGTTTGCTGTTTCTCCAGGAGCCCATAGCCACTGTGTTTTGGGGAAATCTCTGCCCAGCAAAGCAAATTAACCTGTCACTAGAGTGGAGGACATTTGAAGGCATAGTTCTGAATCTTGCCTGAGCTTCAGAGCCATCTAGGGGCCTCCTTAAGAAATATACATTCCTGGGCCCTACCCAAGGATTGGGTCAGAATCTTCAAGGTGGGGCCTAGGAATCTTATTTTCAACAGAGTCTGTGATCCTCAGATGCCTCTGTTCCAGCACCTCTGATGTCACTGTAGCTCCTGTGGTGTGTGACTCTTGAAATTTTCATTCTGTTTTCTCAGCAGTTTCCTGAGTAAGAAACATCTACTGGAAGCTGTCTAGTAGATGCACAGAGAATGAGATTTTGGCACTGATGAGATATTTGTCCTGAGTCCTGCAGTCCTGAAGCAGGGCCAATATATTCAGCAACACATGTTAGCTAAATGAGGATTCCTGAAAAGACCTGTTCATCCGGACACTCCGAAAGTGGGATCTCTGTGTCTCAGCAAAGCTCACAGCTGATCCTCAACAATTTTTTTTCAGTAATGAGGATTCAGCTGAGGGGTACTCTACGCTGAGCTGGGTTACATATCCAGCCTATTTTATTTTATATTTTATTTCATTATTTTGAGACAGGATTTTGCTAACCTGCCAAGGAAGGACTTGAATTTGCAATTGTCCTGCCTTCGCAGCCCCAAGCGCTGGGCTTACAGCCATGTGCCACTGTGCCAGGCTTTTTCCTCACCATTCTTCATTCTCTGCCTACCCGTGGTGTATAAGCACACATACCCTCCTAGGTCAGTCTACACGCTGGTGCTGCCCACATGCTTATAGATCGTTGTGAGGAAGGAGGTGGAGCCATCTGAGAAGAGGAAATTAGGAAGAACAAAGTTGGAATATTTAGAATGGCCCTGGGGAAATTTTTAGTTCAGATAGGATGCAAAAATGATGTATGTAATTGTATCTGTCATTCAGAGCTTGGTGTTGGAAGAAAGAACGTAAGTGGCACAGTTTGTGTATCATTTTGGTTGCACAAATAAGGAAGTAGGTATTTTACCCATGGGCCTGTTAATTAAATCCTAACCAGCAAGCTTGTTTTAGGTATCCTATCTCATTCTTGACCCAAACCTTGGTATTAAGTTGATTACAAAGTTCAAGTACCACAGAGTTTAGTGAAAACTAAGGCAGTAAGTTAAAATAACTTATTTACTTTTTAATTTTTTGTGTGGTACTAGGGATCAGCATCTTCACACTGAGCTACATCTCCAGCCCTTTTTAATTTAATTTAATTTATTTATTTGAGACTGGGTCTCGCTGTGTCCATCAGGTTAGTCTTGAGTTCATTATGCAGCCCAGACTGGCCTTGAGCCATGGGCGATCCTCCTCCTCAGCCTCCTGAGGGCAGGGACTACAGGTGTGTGCCACCACATCTGGTTTATGTTTTATTTTGAAACAAGTTTCATTAAATTGCTGAATCGCCCAAACTGGGTTTAAGCATGCAATTTTCCTGCCTCAGCTACTCTAAGTTCTGGAATTACAAGCACATACCACTATATCCCTCAAATGTTTTATTTTGTGAATTCTCTAAAGGTTTCTTTTTCCCCATTTTCCTTCTGCAAAAATACAGAGGATGTGTTAAGAGCCATACAAACTCATTCAATAAATTTGTGTGCCTCCAATCGGCCTATCCCTGTTCTACTCTCTTTTTGTCTTTTTTTTTTTTTTCGTTTTTATCGGTATCGGGGATCGAACTCACGACTGCCTGCTTACAAGGCAGGCGCTTATGCTGCTGAGCTAAATCCCCAGCCCCCCCTGTTTTACTCTCAAAGGATACATACATTGTTGTCTTTCAAAATGATTTTGAGTGCCTATCCTAGTGGGAACTGATTTGGGGAGATGAGGGAAGAACAGAAAATTGCAGAAACTGGGTGTGGAATTCACATCTATAATCCCAGTGCTTGAAAGGGAGAGGCAGGAAGATCACTGCAAATCTGAGGCTACCCTGAGCTGCACAGTGAGACCTTGACTCAAAACAAAAGAAAACAAAACAAAAACAAAATGTAGGAACAAAACAAGGAGGCAGTCAACATGGCCACTATACATAGGGGCTTCAAGAGGACAAAGGGACAATACAAAATTGAAGAAAAGGTGGCCATTATGGTACCCTTTGATCTCTCCTAAGTCATCTCAGGATTACTTCCAAGCGTCGCGGTGACTTGGCCTGAGCAGTCACAGTAAAGCTCAAAACATACCGAATATTCATTAGCATTTAAAACTTTCTGAAAGACACCTCCAGCCACAGCCTGCTTGCAACCTTCACATGACCGGAAGTGGCCCATCTGTGACTGACATGGGCCATGTGCAGCATGGGAGTCTCTTGAGCTTGAGGGACTTGAGTATCTCACTGTGTTCAGGCATCTGCTTAAAAAGCTTAGTGCTTGTTAGTTTTGTTTTGTGTTATGATTTGCTGTACTGGGGATGGAGTCCAGACTCTTCACATTGAACTATACCCTCAGCTCTTTTTTAATCTTTTAACTCTGAGACAGAGTTTTGCTAGGTTGTACACACTGAGCTCAAACTTGCAGTCCTGTTCCAGCTGCCCATAGTGCTGGGATTACAGGCGAGCACTACCATGGCCAGCTCTCCTTCGAGTTTTTAAAGCTCAAACATACTGGGACAATTTCCAACTGCCTCTGTATATTCACCACAAGCCAAGGGAATCTTGCCTACCCCATAAATTCCCGCTTTAGAAGGAAGCCTTTGTATCTTGCCTCATCTTCACCAAAACAGAATACCTGCTGGAAAATCTTCTACATATTTAGGGATAGGAATGAACGCCAAGACAAAAAAACTATAAGCATATTCATACTCTCCAGATTTATAATCATGTCTATGTATACTCTCACTTGATGGTGCTGACAACCCATTTTATAGATGAGGAAATTGAACCTCATAAAGGTTTAATGAATTGAACCAGTCTGCACAGCTGGCAAACTGACTGAGACTCAAATCCATCCCTAAATTTTCCCTTACTTTAAGGTAAATAATTCAAATATTGTTGAGAGAGAAGGGAAACAAAAGAAGTTAAATCCACAGGTGCACAAAGGATCTTCGATGGTCCTCCCCATCCTCTTTTTACAATCATGTTAACTCACTTCTCACTCATTTTCTCCCTGCCTCCATGTTTTCTGACCAAAACCAGAACTTACTTTGTGCAATGGCCATGACTCCAGACAGGGGGGTCATGATGAGGTTCTGAGATTGCTGGGGATTATGGTGGGAGAGGCTGTGGATATTCGTCAAGGTGCTGACGGGGGGCAGGCCTCCTCCTGAGACTGATATCTGCTGGAGAGGAAAAGCAAGAGTAGCGTGAGTGGATTCCAGGATGACATGACTTAACAACTCCAGGGCCCAGCTATTTCACCAATTCATTCATGCCCTCTACAGTTAGTAAGCATCTATTATAGAACAGACTGTTCTAGGTGCCGAAGACAGCGGGAAGTAACATGGACAGTATTTCCTGCCCATCGGCACCTGGAGTTGCTGATTATCTATGAGCTACCAGCCAGCCCCAGAAATTCGGCTTTTCAGTGTATAATGTGTTTGTTGCCTGCTCACTTTGCATGTGGTCTCTCTTCTGCTTTCTGCCTTCTATCATATGCACTAGAGACACATGACTGCTAAAAATAATAACTGAAGAAATGCTCTGGGATTCCCCAATGCAAGTAGATTAGGAACCAGGTAGGAGGGCAGGAAGCCCTCTCTGAATCCTGCTCACATCTTAACTCACACACCTTCTAACTACAAGCCTAGGAGGTAGATGCTTCTCTCATTCCCATTTCACAGATGAAAACTTGAGGTTTAGAGTAGAATTATATCATGTCTAAGATCTTATAAATAGCAAGTGGTACAGCAGGCATTCAAGCCCACGTTTGTCTGACCCTAAAACCCAGATTCTCTTCACCCTGTAATTATAATAAGGGTTGAGGGCTTAAATGTTATTAGATTTCTCTACTTTTTCCAAAACTGCACTACACATTAAAATTTCTTTATCTTTTATGTTAAGCAGCTGATGTTGTAGTGACAAAGCTGGTAAACAAGCCTTATTGTGTTTCATCATTGTATTTTAATGAGATTAGTAGGGAAAAGCTACTAATTTTGTGTATATATTTTGTACATGGCCATTTAATTGAGTTCTTTTATTTATGTCTGAAGTTATAATTTCCTCATTAAAAATTTTTCTAAGCATAGCATATAATTGGATCACAATTATAAAATGCTAAAAGGGTCTCTTCCTTGCTAGAACTAATATATCTCAAAGTCCATTGGTTAGAACTTCTCGAATAGAATTAAACAAATCGTAGCTATAACAGATGTGCTTGTTTTGATCCTAATGTTATTAGAAATGCTTTTAATGTTTTCTCATTAATTATAAATGTAATGTAACTATCATTTTTACACACAAATGTACACATATTCTCATAATACAGTAGCTTACTATCTATAGTTTAAGATAGGTTCTAAAATTATTATTGGGACCGTCCCTGCAATTTAAACAAACTGGACATTATTGGGAGAATTAGGGCACTGAGAGGTGCATTAAGGTTACGACACATTAGGTACCTGGGTCACTTAACTTCCCTTCTTCCGTCTTTCATTGCCCATAGCTCTTTGGGTCATAGGTCCTACACCTGTACCCAGGTAAGACTCTATCTCTTACCCTCCCTTTCCGGTCAACCTCATAATTTCCAAGGTTAATTTAAAAAAAGAAAGAAAAAAACTCAAGGAGGTTTGTTTATGTTTTTAAAACGAGTATCAAGAAATGAGTTAGAGGTCACATCACCCAGAAGGAATTCTGACCACACCGAACAAGAGAGAACCAGCCTGTTTGCTAGACTTGTTTTTCAAAATGTCAGAGTCATAAAAACAAAACAAAAGACCAATGACCTGCCCTCGAACTGAATTCCTTCGGTAACACAGTCCTCTGGAGAAAGTCAATGAAATGATGTGCATCTCTCTGCCGTTTCAATGTTTGGCTCTCACAGTCCAACAGAAAAACGGATGCCGGAAACATAGACTCCAGGGATTAAAGCACTTTAAAGTGTATATGACTTCAGTTTGTAGCTTCTTTTATTAACTGTCCTTAATAGTTAAACACACAGATAGGACAGGTATTATTCCAGATTAAGACACAGATCCTCAAAAGAGTTCAGACTAGCACTATGTAACAACTAATAAGTGAAGAACCCCAAATTCAGTTCTGTTGGAGTTTGAATCCATCCACTCCGGCAGTCTTAGTTACATTACTTCCCACTGTAAAAGGCAGCTATTATTTCCCACTTGCCTCAAGGACTAATGAAGTCAGGGAGTTGTGAAGAACATGGCATTAACCCTTATGTGAAAGTCTGTTAAGACTGAATTATATGTTCTTGCCACGGATAGTGCTTATACTAGGCAAATTCTTTCACATGCCTTTAACTTATGAACTTGATATTATTTCTATTTTGTAGAAAAGAAAACAGGTTTAACAAAATTAAGAAATATGCCTATGGGGTACAGTTGGAGTTAAAAACAAGAGACCTGCATTTAAGGCCAGAACTTCTCACACTTACATAATCCTTGACACCCTGAAAGTATGTGGTATGTGCTTAAAAAAAGAAAAGGCCAGTATACACTATTTGCAACCCTAAACCTGGTCAGCTTTCTATCAATGGACACCATTTGCCACTGTGGGTTGGGGCCCACTGTGGGTTGGGGCCCACCGGTGCAATAGAGAGCTCAAATGCATTAGTATTATTTTCAAAACTAATTTCTGGGGGAAGATTTCAAAGACATGACCTAGTGAGAGTAAGCACATAGAGACCGTCATTCCTAGAACAAGGCTTTCTCCAAACACAACAGAGCTATAAGAAATTGTTTCTTATGACATAGGCATTATTATCCCCATTTTATAGATGATGAAATGGAGGTTAAACAATTTTTCCATCCTTCTGCTGGTAAATGACAGAGTCAAAACTTGGAGACACAGGACCCTGTGCCTGTGTTCCTTTTAAACCATATTTCCCTGTTGCAAGGTCTGTGATGGCTTTGTTATATATTAATAGAGAACAGACTCTTGAATTTGGGCATCCAATGACAGTGACATAACATATGAGCCCAAGGTGTTGGAGACAAGTGAAAATCCGGTCCTGCAAACAAACTTCCAGATGTTTGCTAACGTTGAGGTGTGCAGCCTTAGTCAATCATCAATCTGATAATATAGTGCCCAGTTAGGGCACCGTGGAGCAGAACAGGGAGAAAAATGCATGTCTGGCGGCTGCCTTTGCAGCAACCCTGGCCTGGGGGAGGGCAGCAGGCTGCTACCTAAAAGCAAGAGGAGGAAAGCTCCAAGGGAAAGTGCAAGGACCTTTATGAAGTGAGAAGGGAAAAGGGAGATTTTTTTTCAGGGCTGGGATAGCACCTAGGGCCCCAGGCATGTCAAGCCAGCCCTGTACCACTGAGCCACGCTCCCAGCCTGGGCTCTGTTTCATAGGCCCCCTCTTCCAGGAACGCCTAGGTAATGCTTAACTTTAATTTGTTTGGGTCGTGACATGACTCTTGAGAAATCGTAAAGATTTGCCTGTGCCTCTTACAAGATAGCTGACATAAATTGTTCTTCCACAAAAATGATCTTTCTTAAGAGATGGGTGGCCGGCAGAAAGGATGCAAAATGCCTCCCGTTGGAGAGCTCTTTGATTTTTGTTTGCAAAGAACTCCACCTGGCAGATCCAGTGAAACTAGAGTTGGCTGGACCCGTGATCCCCTCAGAAACTACACTTTGTTTTTCTTCCAGGGAGCTGGGGCCTTGATGACCTATGACTCACTAGTCCTATGTTGCCTACACAACACACACACACCAGTGTCTAAAACGGCATCTGTTCCCTGTTGCCCGCCCCTGACTCTGGCCCCCACTGGCCACAGGGTCAGACACTTTGCAGGAAAGCATCCCACTCTACCTCAGCCTGGAAGTAGGGAACCTGTGGCTCCTCCCTCCCCTGAAACCCCGAGCATGACCCAAAGAATAAAGTTTTCCATTTCCTCCCTCACTGTGTCATAATACTCTGTGTCTCATAAGTTGCTCTCTGCTATCCTGGTGTCACTGGAGATTTAGGATCTTTGAAATTCAAGTTATTCCTTGACTAGTGGGGATAAACTTTCTTCTGGGTTGTGGGTATAGAAAGCTTTTCTTTATAAAAATAGCATTGACTTTAACATAATAACGCTGCTGTTTAGAAAATATCTTCAGTACTGAACAATGTGGGGAGTATTTCATGTGTGTTACTTATCACACTTGTTCCCCTAACAACGCTATTGCTATTACCTCTAGTTTATGGAGGATTTGAACCCCAGGTACCTGGAACTTCAAAGTCGGCCTTCCTCACGCTGAGCACCACCCTCCCCACCTGCCATTTTGTATTGCAGTCTTCCTTGAAAAGGCGTCCCGTGTCCTTCAGAATTTCAGTTCAAAAAGCTGCTCCCATCTCCTACCATTCACTAAATCCTACTTGACTGTCCTTGCCAGTTCTAAGGGGGTTGCTAACAAGGGGTCTTGGTACTTTCTGGGTTTAAAAAAGAAAAAACAACCTAGCTTCGGAGGCCTTGGAGGGGAAGGATGAATGAACATTTTATCAACACAAATGTCACCAGCAGCCCCAAAACAAACAGCGTCCCACCCGGCTTGCTCCTTTATGAGGCATTCAATCAATAAAATGAGAGCAGAACTCTGTCAGATTTATTGGCTGGGTTCAAACTGAACACCTCTTCTAGCCGCCAAAGGCTGGGTCACCAGCTCTACCTTTCCGTTCCAACTTTGGTCAGCCCCCATTTTCTCCGGGGAGGTTACAATGGTTCATTGTTTGAGGCAGGCCTTGTGAGAAGTTGTGTTTGTTTTGCCTCTTATCTTATCAGCTCCAGAGCTACAATGGCCCAGGTGTACTCACCATTTTACCATCAGGTGAGAGGAGATTGTGGCCTGGGTCCAGGCTGGCTGGGGAGACTTGCTGTAAAACTGACTGGCTGGTCACCATGGCGCTGTTACCATGGTGACTGATGGTTGAAGAGGAAGTGACCTCATTGTTTCCTTGCTGGCTGTAGCGTACTCCTGAAAACAACACAAACCCCAAGGGGGAACATTAGTGTCACAGGGACCCTCAGACACTGATTCAGAGCCTTTTGTTTGCAACGGTGGATGACAAAAAAGCACAGTTGCCCTCTTTTTCCCTGTCTACCCACAGGAAATACCAGCTGTCTGTCTCTGGGATAAAAGTGGCATGGTTTCTACTTTAATTTCAGAATGTAAGCTCCATGAGGGTAGTATATTCTGTCTCCTTTGTTCATTATTGTGCTTTCAGTGTCTTGACACTTGGTAGCCACTCAATAAACTGTTAAATGAAGGGATTCTTCGTGCTATGCTTTGGCATCGTTTCTTAGGATCTAGAGGCTGTTATTGGTCTTCTCTTCTTGGGCACAGTATTTACTATATACTTCAAATTGCCTTATAAAATGCTTTCTTAGCAGCTCTTGGCTATGTGAAGCTACAAAGCATGAGTAGACCAACTGAGGAAGAGATACTGTCCAGTGGCCTTGGTAAGAGCCACAGTTCACGGAACAGTCTCTTGGTACCAATTTTGACTGACACGAGGGACCCAGGCAGACCAGGTCAGGGACAGGGCTGCAGCTATCAGTTTTTGGCTCTGGAACTCACATTCCTTTGATGGGATCTCATTTGGCTGGCCTCCAGTGCACAGGGAACTCCATGGCTGTAGGAGGTGAGACAGGCAGCTGACACAGGCGGGATGTGGATGCTTTAGCAAACCACTGAGTTCTGGTCTACAAGGGCAGGGGAAAACCAAGCATATTTACAGCCTCACTGCTCTGACCTTCCCACTTGCATAGAAAACAAAAATGAGGTCTACTCTTGGGAAGGGAAAGAGCTAGACAGAGAGAAAGAGACCAGGCAAGAGAAAGAACCTTAAGGGCAAAGAACCTGGAGCCAGTGTGCAGAAGCTAATCCTGATGGAGGTGCCCATGGAATAGCCAAGGACGAGGCTGGAAGACCTGAGGACAACCCACCTCTAATTTCTCATCTCCAGGCAGTGTTCTCGCTTTGTGGTTTGGATTGACTGAAAGGTCTGGGGGATCTGTCCTGCCAGTGAGCAAGAGCAATACTCCAGGCATGGAATCACTTGAGGAAGTGGCCAATTTTCAGCTGTTTGCTCCCATTACCCAGTTTTCCAAGATGAACCAAACCCTGGATACCAATTCTTTCTTTCCCATCTCCCTTGTTTCCTTCTCCAACTAGAGCTCCATCTTCTGGGGGGAAGCCACAAAGTCCCCTCCGGAGCCAGACACACTGCCATAGCCAGCAACCTCTAATTCACTAAGCTGAAGCTTACCAGGAAGAGACTCAAGCCACTTTCCCCAGGGTCCTCCTAAGGATGATTCGACCTCGAGTTTCAGAGGACTGGGGAAAAACAAACAAGTGCTCAGGCAGCATTCTGACCTTCAGGAGTAGCCTTGTTTGACTGTGAAATGGCTTGATGCTTGCTCTATGGGTTTTTTAAAAATTGGCTGTTTCTCCATTCTTTGATTTAAGAGACTGATGGGGGAGATGGATTTGGCACTGGAATTTGGTAGTGTTGGTCCAAGGGACTACATTTTGGGGGGAAGAACAAGAGCCATTAAGTTAAGAAGAGGAAAGGCCTCTACTTCTCCAAATCAGTAGCCCTTGCCTGTCTTTCTGAATGTCTTTGTGAAGCCTTGTAGGGCTCCCTTTATCCCTCTGGTAAAAAGATTAAGTTAGGTCTTTAATCTCTACTCACATTAGCTACTAGGTTGCTAATATGATCTTTCAACAGTTCAAAGGATTTTATATAGAAGAAGACAGAGATTTGAAACTTACATGCTCACAAGGCAGAGCTAGGTCCAATGGAAAAGAAGGAGACATTTCTAATAACGAAAAGGAAGAATTTTCTAGCAAGGAGAAAGCAGTGGGAAGACTACATGTGCCAGAACTGGACAGTCTTGGGTTCAAATCCTGCCTTTGTTCTTGGTAGATGTGTGATCATGGGAACACCTCTTTCCCTCTCTGTGCCTTGATTTTTTTCTCATAAAATGGAGAGAATACTTCCTTAACGGGGCTATTTTGGGATTAGAGCTAAAATTTTATAGCTCCTAGAATAAGGCAAAATACAAGGCAACTGTCAGTAGGAATGTTGGGGAGGGGGCTGGTATGAGGATGGATCCCAAGATATACGCCCTGTGAGTCTAGAATTCTAGACAACTTGGGGCAGGTGCTAAGTACTGAGGGAAATTACACTTTCACAGAAAATGGTTTCCAGAGGCTCCTGTTCTGGTAGAACCATTGAGAATACTGTCCTGAAAGCAACCAGGAAAGAGGCTTGGCTGCTGCCCTGCTCTTTCATTTTGGAGGGACTGGACTTCACCCTGCTTCTCTCATGCATTTTCTGACTCCCTGACAAGCTATTTACCTCCCCAAGATGCTCTGCTCCTGAGAGAGCAGTGATAACGCTGGGAGGCAGGTGTGTGCTCACCTCCCAGCTTGTCCCCACCATCGATTCAGCCTCAAATCAAACAGTCTCTGGATTTAGCCTATTTAATTTGGCTGGAGGAAAGGGGCTAGCCCTCTGACGATCAAATATGGGTCACAGGGAGGCTTCTCTCTACCATAGGCCACACAGTTATTTATTTAAAAATAATTAACCCAGGATATCCGCAGGAAACAAAAAGCCTTTTTTCACAGGACAGCATGGCAGGAGAGAGTCCTGAACCATTTGTTAGAGTACAGGCAGCGCAGCTCAAGCCTGCTGTGGTTTGCACATTTGGTTCTCCAATATGATCTTCATCATGTGAGAGATACAATGGGGGAACTGCTCTGCTAGAGGCAGCTGGGCCCCTGAACTTGCCCCCAAAAACCTCAGGCTAAGGGCTAGAGTCCTGGCTGGGAATTAGGGGATCCCTGTTTGGATTAGGACACCTATTGCAGAGAGGGACTGTTGTGTCACTGCATTGCAGTGGGACTTAGGTAAAAGTCCCTCAAAGGCTTAGGACCCACTACACCTTTTCCCACTGATGCTACTAGGGAGATGCTACTAGAACTGATGGCCCTGGGTGGGCTGCTGTAACTAGCTGATGTGTGTGTGAGTGGTGGAGAGAGCATTCGAAGGTGTCTTTGGGAGATCTGCCAGAAGTCGGTGTTTTTGCTAGAGGAAGGACAAACCAAATTTGAAATGAGAATGGCCAGGCCCTGGAGCCTATGTTTAAAGCTCGGCTCTCCCACGTTAACAGTTGTGTGGCCTTGGGAATAACCTCTCTGAACTTCATTCCCTAACTTACAGTATCCTTCCCCAATCACTGAGGCAGAAAAGATTGAGTAAATTAGCAGAAGTGAAATTGTTGCTTAAAACACAATAGTTGCTGCCCCTTTCAGACGGGCTTCATCTGAAAGATGTTCTTAGAAAAACTGAGATCAAAAAACTTGACTGAGCACTTAGCACTCAGGCACTGTGGTGCCCGCGTTAAGAAGCAGAATGGCATCTTCCCTTCTTTCATCATCATAGCTCCTAAAATGAGGATATGAGTCTTGGGTTAACCCTTACTTGCCAGGAATGCCTGGTTAATAGCAAAAAAGTCATAGGAGAAATGGCAGTGACAAGTAGTAGCAATGCATCTGTACGCACTTCCTGGCTCAACCCCTAACTGGCCATGTCCCCATCACAAATGCTGTGAACCACAGCAAGTGTGTCCAGGATGGCACAAGCCATCCCAGGCGGAGTCTAGAGACTCCTGAACTCTGCCCTGTGCCCAGCCCTCAGTTGCGTGGGTATGGGATTACGACCAAATTCCCAAGAGCATACGGATCAGATGCAGATCGTCTGGTTTTCATCCAGTAATACTGGTCAGAAGTTTCAAAAACACGGGTGAAGGATACGTTCCAAGAAACCAACATTCCCTGTGCTGCCTCCCTCAGCCAGCATTTATCTCCAGGTGCTTTACGCTGCTGCATCTTGGGATTTCTTTCTAAACAAAAGCTTTCCATGTCCCTGCCTGGTTTGGACACCTCTGATGACCCCTCACAGCTTTCCGGAAAAGCCCCAAAACCGGAGATTTTGTAATGTCTGCCTTATTTGCACCATCTCTAGACACACCCCATACAGCTGCATGAGAGGTCTCAAATAGCCCTTCCATGGGCTGCTTTTGTGCCTTTGCTTTTGCTGTTCCTTCTGGCTGGAAAGCGATTTCCTTCTTTTCCATGTTACCCTTATAAAGGTTAAATGTCATTTCTGAGAAACTCTTCTTGATTCATTCTGGTAATGAGCTGCTCTGTCCTTTGTATTTTGTATGTGCTGGAGACACAATAGCAGGAGTGGGTCACCCTGTACTCTCACACGATGACTTCCGTCTCCTTTTTGAAGACGCGACAGCTTTTACTCATTGTTGTGTCCTTACTTCTGCAGAGCACCTTGCACTGTGACTATTTAATAAATGAAGAAATGAGACTTAGAGGCTTTGAGTACCCATACTCCAGAGCAAGGTGTGTCACTTCTAGCAGGAAAAATATGGTTGGTTCTGTGGTAATCATTGCACTAATCTTGTGAATCTGTTCCAACTGCATTGCTACATTAAAGAACCATTTGAGTCAACATCAATTTTACATTTGAGAAAACTAGTAAATTCATAAATCTGTACTGAGCTGAATGGACCCACACACAGAAATACTGAAATGTGGGGGCTGGGGATTTAGCACAGCAGCATAAGCACCTGGCTTGCAAGCAGGCAGTTGTGAGTTCAATATCTGGTACCGATAAAAAGAGAAAAAGAAAAAAAAATGTAAAAAAAAAAAAAAGAAATACTGAAATGTGCCCATGCATGCATGTACACACCTTCACACCTGCCAGCCACCCCAGCCACTCTATGTGCTATAAACCACATCTGTGCCTATTAGGAACCACACTGTTTGCCAGGTGAAGTGACACACACCTGTGATTTCAGCACTTGAGAGGCTGAGACAAGAGAATTGCTGCAAGTTTGAGGCTAGCCTGAGCTACACAATTAATTCAAGGCCAGTCTGAATTACAGACT